TGCTGGTGCTGTTGCTGTTGCTGGTGGTGGTGGTGGTGGTGGTGGTGGTGGTGGTGGTGGTGGTGGTGGTGGTGGTCTCGTTGTTGTTGCTGTTGTTATTATTGTTATCATTGTTTGTGGTTTGTCATCTTCGTCTTACAATTATTATTCTCATTGTTGCTCTTCTGCTGGTTGTGGTAGTTGTCGTCGTCTTTGAAGTCGTTCTCGTCTATGGCGTGTTTGTCGCATTTGTCGCCGTCATCGTCGTCGTCTTGTCGCTTTTGCTCTGCCTCCCGTTGTAGCTTGTGTTGTGGATTGCGGAGTCCTAGTTGTTGGTTCAGCAACGTTGCGGCGTGTTGCTGTTCAACAGCACATCGTCATCATCGTCATCATCATCATGGTCGTCATCATCATCATCATCATCGTCATCATCATGGTCCGTCAGCATCATCAATGTCGACACCGTCATCATCTAAAACAGCACCGCAGACACCGTCACCAGCAACGGTAGCAGTACAACAGACAAGGATTGCGAGCGTTCTCCTTGTGAAACTATTCGCGATTGCGCTGATGGTGGCTCTTGCGCTTGCCACTGGTGCCAACAAGACTGTTGCCATGATGACCCTTGGTTTGGTCGCTATGTCTGCTGAAGCCCATAGCTCTGGCGAATGACGGAACGCTCTCAGCTTGGGATGCTACAGGATCCCGAGCCCTTTTTCAAACCTTGAACCCAAATGCGCAAACTGAAAGCCTCCAACTGCTATCCTTCAGGGCGCCCGCACAGACACACACATTCCTGCATGCCAAGCTACATCTCCTTGGCATACGCGTAGCCCAGGGTCATCTCAGCCTCCTCCTTGAAGAAGACCTGAAAAAGGGTTCAGGTGCTCAAGATTCAGGGATTTAGAGCGGGTTTGAAAGAGCAGGGTCCATGCAGCAGCACCTGTGCCATAGAAGGTCTGGTAAAAGTTCGGGACTGAGTGTTCAGGTTTTGGAATCATGGTCCAGACTTCCCATGCTATGGCTAATGGCCCATGGGCACCGGGTTGATTCAGCCGGGGCTGGCCAATTTCAAGCTTGAGCTCGTTTAGGACGAAGGCGTGACGAAGGGCTTCAGAAATGGACGAAGATGGCTGTTGTTTACCGGCATCACTGACAGTATTCCAAAGGTCCTTCGGGGGATGGAGACCCTCCAGGACTGGAAATCCAGGGTTCCAATATAAGTGCCCCAACAAATTCGAAAAGGATTTTGAGGTATGCTATACCACAGTCGTTACTCAAGAGCCCTGACGAATGCTATTATCATTAACGATTCAGGCGCCTATTTTAGGCCAGAGATGTTGGACTCCGCCCTGGGCAGCTTGACTTCCATGTTTGTTGCGAAGGCCCGGCGCCATGCAGCCCAAACCCAGTAAGAAAAGGGTTTAGGGTTTAGGGTTAATAATTGGGCTTTGGGTGACATTCTAGCACAATGGCACCTACCTCAGGGCTTTTAAGGAACCAACTTCTCAAATGATGTTTTGACTTCTATATTGCCCGGAATCCCCTCACGTCAACATCGACACTCCACAACGCCGCGGGAGCACTGGTAGGGCCGGAAACTTCTTGCGGTCGGTGAGCTTGTCCCTGGCATGGCTTAGGCTTTGGGGGCTCAGGGCCCTGGGTCCCTACTGTTGGGTTTAGGCTTTGGGGTAAGGGGGGGGGGGGCCCATTGCCGTAAGCCCCAGTGTCGGGAGGGCTTTGCTGAGGGGTAGAAGAGGCGCCTCGGCCTTGGAACCAAAAGGTCCTAGGTGCTATCCGGAAGTGTCCATGGCCGTGAGTGGTGACGAAGGAACAGAAGATAATCATAATGGTGGTGGTGGTGGATCGTGGTGGTGGTCTTGGTGGTGGTGGTGGTGGTGGTGGTGGTGGTGGTGGTGGTGGTGGTGGTGGTGGTGGTGGTGGCCCAGTGATAGCGACAACAGCTCCAAAGACACATATACACATTTAACGGGACTCACTACCCCTGCCAAGACAGCGAAGACGAGCTACCAAAACCGCACACGAAGTGATGTAGCTCCGAACGGAACATGTGGGTAAAGGTTTCGTGACATGCAGGGTGTCAAAGGGCCTAAGGCTTTAAGGCTCCAGGGCTTCGCAGAGTTCATGTCGGATACCTAACCCCTCCAGTCTAGATCTAAACACGCTTTTCGGTGAGCCGCAAGATCTGGGCCCTAGGCTGGAGCCCCAAAGCCCGAGGCCGTCAACGTCAAAGCACGACATCTCCGGACACGAAGGGTTTAGGGTTTAGGGTTTAGGGTTTAGGGTTTAGGGTTTAGGGTTTAGGGTTTAGGCTTCAGGGCGCCGAGACGAACTTCTTTCACAATCGGGGTGTACGCTGCCTGAGTCTGTCCAGGACGTCCCAGGGCTGCAACTTTGGCATGTGCCACCACCCAAATCTGAGGGCTGTTGGTAAGCGCAGACCCAGGTTTTGAGGGCTGTTGGGGATAACATTAAACCCTAAACCCTAAACCCTAAACCCTAAACCCTAAACCATGGGTGTTAGGAGGAGGTCTTCAGCTCCAGATGTAGCAGGCTGTGAGTGCGGGCTGCAGGACGATTCTTCTCTCCAGTTCGAGAGTTTAGGATTTGGCACTTGTCGGATCATGGGACTTAGTAAGTAAAGGTTATGAGTCCCCTAATTGGGGTTATAAGTATAGTTACCTTAGTTATAGCCCTACTTACTAAGTCCCGTGATCCTTCAAGTAGAATAGAATCCTCACCAAGTTTCGGGTGCTCCTGCTCCGACTCTCGTGGCCAAAGTCTCAGAATGCAAAGCCTACCCATTCGGTCACCGAGCAACAGCGGATTGCCCTTGAGGTGCTCATGGATAAACTCATGCGAGATATTCCTGTGTCAGGATTTCACGCTTGACATGGATCGATTCCACACTTTTGAGTGTTGAAGTATGCTTTGACTTCGTTGAGAGGTTGTTCCCTCTACGTTTTAATCCGCGCCGGAACCACCATGCAGACCCCACATGGGCCTCGTTGATAGAAAGCGGAACGAAGCTATTCGGGCTTCAATGAAATCCGACCTGACTCGGGGGCCTCAAGGCATTGAAATTCGCGAGTTCGGGCGCATACCTGACGACCTCAACATCAGAGCACCTTGCTCGTTCGGAGTGGCCTGGCGTTGCAAAATGGGGGTGCAAAACGTTAAGCAAAATCTCCTGCAGAGCAACAGTTACCTCAAGCTGGGAGTGCGGATGAAAAAGAAGCCTGACAAATTAGAAAAGGGTTTGGTGGCAAATTACATTATAGTTACACAAACATCGCAATTGCTATTGGCTTTTTCCAAGACCTCCAGGTTACATCGCGGCCCTGTAGCGGGGACTGACCCGAGGCCAACGGACGCCCTAGAAATTGGGGACTCAGCTCAGGGTTTAGGGCTTAGGCTTGGGGGAATTAGGGCTCAAGGTTTAGGGATTCAGCATTTCACACGCTGTCCTCTCCGGGTTGCAGCAGCAACAGCACGAAGTCCTCAAGCGCAGAGTGTTTGGGATGGGACTGAAGAATTTGGGGTTCCAAACGGTTTAGGGAAGCCCCTCGGATCAACTTTTAGGGTGTAACGGTTTCGTTTCTCCAGTCAGAGGGGTCAAGAAGTACGCCGTTCTGCCAGGATTTCTGCACGAGCACGGGGAAAACAACCTTATGAACCGTAGCACACAGGAATACAGCCTGAACCACAAAGTCCACGACACTCAACAACACGAGGCCCGCTAGGCCCTAAGGTGACCACAAGAGCTGGACCTCGATTCTCTTGCGTTTCTGAGGAAGACTCTTGCATCGGGGGATTGACCAATCAGGGCTCTATGGCTACTACAGCTATACATTCCCAACAAGGATTGGTGGAAGAACAAGAATACGTACTGGCGAAGGCACTCTGCGGGGGCTGCGGTGGAGTCGATCAGCGCATCTTGCTCCGCCATGGCTCCCCCCGCGGATCTATGGGTCTAGGCTTGTATTCCCGTTTGCAGCCTCGGCCTTCTCGAGTTGACAGGTTCGGGTTGGCTCTCCTTGCTCTCGGTCTCACGTTGCACTTGCCACTGCCGATCTGCCTTTTACAAATGGCAGCGGCTGAGAACGAACGCTGACACTGCTGCTGCGACCTCAAACTGATGATGGTGCTGTTCAAAAGAGGATGGTTAAGGAATGATGGTGACGCTGCTGACTAGTGATAGACAGCGGGTCATGATGGCCGGAGAAGGTGAAGGTGCTTAGTAAGCCTCAACTCCTGTTAAATCCAAAACGGGACACCAGAACTCTAAATTTCGCTGGAAAAAGGGTGCAATAATGTAGACCTGAAAAATCTTGCGATCCTTTTCCAAGGACCCTAAATAAGGTGCTGCACCTAAACCCTCTAAACCCCCAGAGCACAAGCTACCACTCCTGTACATACCCTCTCAAAAACCCTAAAAAACAGCACCCCAGACTCCTCCATTTTATACAGTAAAACACCCCGCCATACCATAATCGAATGTAACAGACAAAAATGTCGTAGAATCTACCCTAAATCCTAAACCCTAAACCCTAAACCCCTAAACCCCTAAACCCCTAAACCCCTAACCCTACCATAAAGGACTACACTATACCATAAAATGCGCTATAACACGCACCGGACGCCTGGTGGGACCGCTCGATGTGCCTCGGCTTGGGCGGTTTGAAGGCTGGAGGAGTTGGGATTTGGGCTTCTCAAGGTACTGGGTTTAGGGTTGGGGGGGGGGGGGTTGGGGTCTTAAGATTAGGTTAAGGGTTTTTTTTGGGTTTTGGGGGGGTTTGAAATTGTATAGGGTTTAGGGCTGTAGGGCCTTTCATGTTTAGGAATTCAGGTGTAGGGTTTGCGACTGCGAGTTGAAGATTTAAGCTACAGGCGGGTGAAGTGGGTGAAGGAGAGATGCTTTAGATGCAGCCACGAGACATCATGGCGCAAAAGAGCCTCGCAATTTCATGGGCCAGGCTTCACAATGGCCCCTGATAGCCAGCTCTGCATCCCAGACAATTCCTAAATAACCAGCTCTTATAAAGCCTCAAAATCAGCTCTAGAAGCCAGGAAAACCCGGACAGCCAGCTCACCCCCCCCCCCCAACAAAACATCCTTATGACCAGCTCTGAATCCAGCAAAAGCCCGCTTAACCAGTGCCGAAACCCAGTCGAGGCACTAGACCCGAAACGCGAAACCCGGAACCGGAGCCCTACGACCCTCATCACATCCTGCTGGGCCGCCGAAATGAAATCCGAGCTTCCAGCCCTGAAGTGCATTCTATCATTGGGTATGACATGGGGTTTTACTTGGTTGTTTGTATAGGGTGTTCTACCATTTCAGAATCGTTTCGAAGCAAGGTTTAGGCAGTCTTTGAGAAGGGTGTTGGCAAACCAGTATATATAGGCGTTTACAGGGTTTAAGGGCCTCGTATGTAGTGCGATTCGCGGTAGAAGATCTCCCCCCCCACTGCAAAGACCCGACCTCGGAGAGCCGACACTGCCCGGAGCGGCGGAGATCTGAGGAAGTGTCAGACAGCTTGCATTGATTGTGAGGCTGACGAAGATTACGACGATGGTGATGGTCCAGTGATGGTGTTGGTGCTGGAACTTACTAGTTGCTGGTGATGCTAGTGCTGGTGGCACTGGTGGCGCTGAGGGCGATGTGTGCGATGAGGGCCATGATGGTGATGATAGTGATGATGGTGACACTGGCGATTCGGTGTTTCGGTTTGTTCCCGAGAGAGCATCTTCAAGGCCTGGGCTCTAAGAGGACCAGCCAGTACAATCCAGCCACAGACCACTCGACTTTCGACGAATCCTTCGCTGACAACTGGAACACCACCCGGCGCGCCCCGTGATTCTGGTCACTGTACCGTCGCTGTACTAGAACTTCAGAATTCCCATACCTGCTCCTATCGGCTCGCCCCACACGCACGTAAGCCATCCACAAGAAAGGCTTATGGCTTATAATCCCGAAGCCCCGCCATCCACTTCTTTCTGCAAGGAACCGCGGAAGGCGCCACTTTGGGCGCCGGAGTCCAACATTTGCGAAATTGAGACGGGTCTCACTGCCGAGCGGGAAAGGTGAATAACCCTAAGGCCAAGGCCAGGGATCCTAAACTCAGCACAGCGTGGCAGCGCAGCTCATGTGGTCGGACCTGCAACTTCTGCTTTGAGAGATCTTGAAACCCATTCGGAAGCGGGCTCTAGATTTGCTTTGATGTAGCTAAAAATGTATAGGGGACTTAATCTTTAGAATAGGCTTGTAGGGTAAACTATGCTATAAGTATGAGATAATATCGGTAGAAATTTAGGTCTATATTAAATACGTGAATCCTGAAATAGCCTCCGTGGCTCACGCAATCAGGTAGCATCGAGGATAGGAGTTGGGAAGTTTAAGGTTCAGGAGTTTAGAGCTTGTCCAGCAAAACCCTCTGCAAAGCCCTCCAGGGTTTAGGGTTTAGGGTCAAAATCCTCTAGAAGAAGCTTCGAGAACGCAGCCACGACCTGATGCCTGCAGTACGAAGCCCTCTGCATGCAACAAGATGAAACTATCGCCTCAACTGCACCAGCCTCACATATCTGAGCAAAGAGCTTCACCTGCAGTCCCCCAAAAGCCACGGTCATACGTACATACACACACACACACATATATATATATATATATGTGTATATATATATATATATATGTATATTTATTTTAATCTGTTTTTTGGTTTACATACATGCATACATATATATATATACACACACACACTGACTGTCGAAGCCGCTTGCCTCGTTGCGGGCTCGGCTCTGCAGCCTGGCGAAGCCGGGCGGCAGATCGACCGCGGCGCCTCCGTCGGTAACTGGATCTTTTGTCAATATGGGCATTTCAGGAAACTAGGGTACCTCATTTTGGGGTTCTTATAATAAGGATCCTACTACTTAGGGTTCTATAACAGGGTCCCTTATTTTCTGAAACTCCCATATGAGGTGACCACTCGTTGGGGTGTTATGGGCGCTTACAGGATCTTATCAGGTCTTCGTGAAGGCCGTATGTGGTTCATGTGCTAACTTTGCGGGCCTTATGGGAGATTCTTACAAACATGTAGCGGTCCTTGCAATACGGATCTTACTTTTCAAGATCTGTAGGAGGCTCCCATAACTATTGAAACTCCCAGGTACAGTTCAGGGCATTGGGATTTGAGGTTCAAGCTTTTCCGGTTGAGGGGCTTGGGGTTCGAGGGCTGAGTTTGTCATGTACGGCTTCGGGATTCTAGCTAAGGGGATACAGGTTTCTGACGCAGGATAGGGTCCATGGGTTTCGTTCGGAATGTGGAGTTTGGAGCAGGCTTGTTCAAGATTCAAACCGTTTGGGCTTAAACTTAGGCTGTAAGCATCTCGGGTTCAGAATTTGCATTTTCGCGTCACGAGTACTGAGACATGACATGACTTATCACACGTAAGGTAAAGGAGTTGTACTACAACACACTTCAGTACAGTGGGGACGGCTATTGTACAATACACCACTGCAACAGACGATGGCGCAATGCAATATGAATCAGCATCATAATGTGCAATACACTATACTACGATGTAGTACGACAAAAATCTAATGCAGTACCAGATAGTGCAAAAACACAACATCACACGGCCTGAAACAAGGTAGTAAGTAGGAGTACAGTAGAATGTGGAACGAACAACCTGATGTGACACAACACGATCGATCCTGGTAACAAAATATGTTTGCAACAAACATGTGCAAGGCCTCTCACGAACCCACCCACCCCCAAATCGCACACATTCAACCCGATTTTTGAGGAATTCCACAACATGGGCCCAAGTTCAATTTGGGCAAAACCAAATCAACCATTCTTGCGATTGACATCCCTGCAGAGGAAGAGCTTGATCTGGCCAGTTGCCGCTACATGCAGTTGCAAGCGCCAGTCGTCCAGCAGTTACTACGCTGTCCGCGGACTCACACCTCGCAAGCTAGTAATCCCAAACCTTGAACGCCGAATTCCCAGCCTAAGAACCAAATAGCGCAATGGTAGTAATCCCAAACCCTGAACCTTCCCCCGACCCCAAACCTCAAAAAATAACACTGTTGCAGCTCCTTTCCCGTAAACCCCAAGCCCTAAATTCTGAGAGCCACAAAACACTTGCAAGTACAGCGGCTTTCCACTGAGCCCCAAGCCTTCAACCCTGATATTAGCCTACTAACTTAATAGCCAGAAAAAACACCCTTAAATCCTAACAACATGTAGCAACCCTGAGATCCACGCCCTGCCTGATTCCCTCTGTACCTTCCCGGCGCTCGCGTCCCGGGCTTTCCTTGGAGACTTTGGGAACATGGGGCTCAGGACCCTAAACCCTAAACCCTAAACCCTAAACCCTAAACCCTAAACCATATGATCATGGGGTTCCTTTTAGCAGGATCTTGCAGAGCTTTCAGAGCGATCCTAACAGAGCTCTTGTGTTTCTGGATATCTCCTTGGGTTCTCATGGGGCTCTTCAAGGGGCGTTTGGGCTTAGGGCTTGCAGGGCTGTGGAGTTCAAGGGTTTTAGCGTTTTTGGGAGCTTTGGAGGCTTTCGGGTTCTAGCGCTCAAAACTTCGGCCTGGGAGTTTCGATATTGCTTAAGTCTTTTTGTTTCTTGTTTAATCTTTAATCACCTCTTTTCCTTCGCCTGATAAGGAGTTGTTTACAAGGGTTTTGGGTTCAGGATTTTGGGGGTGGACATGAAAGGTTGGAGTTTCGGGCTAAGGGGGCTTTGAGAGATTGGGGTTCCGACACCCAAAATCCAAGCCTCGGGCACAAGGTTTGCCGGATTGTCGGGTTGAGTCGAGTGTTGAGGTGGTCCGCTCACTGAACACCAGTCGTCCAACAGACTAACATGTTCGTCTGAAGCACACACACACACACACTTTGTGCAGGAAAGTAAAATCCGGTTCCGTCTATACTAGTACAGTTATCGGCCCTTTTGTCCCATGTATAAGGTATCTGCCGTTGCTTCGGTGACGCCCTTGCCAGGTTCCGAAGTGAAGTCTCTGCAGTATCATTACCACGTCGTAGCGACGGCACGCGAATCAGGCAGACGTCATCGCCGGCGTCGTCGTCGTCGTCATGGTGGAAATCACATGATAATGCTGGTGTTGGTGTCGCTGTTTGGTAGTACATGGGGGTCGAGGCCTTAACATCTCAATCTTCGCCCCCCTCTTCATCCATAAGTTGCTTACACTTCCATTTGGGTTATATCAGTTATATCCTATTTTGCTAGAACTCTGTGCTATACTCCAGTACAACATCGCAACACATAATTGTGCTATCTATGTGATGTTGTTATGACTATGACCCCAAACGAGGCCGCGGTGCAGAGCGGCCTCGACGCGGCAACCGCAGGGGCGCCCCCGCGGCGCGGCGGCGCCGGATGACCTGCAGGCCTTGTGCCGGCAGGAGTCGGATGAGAGATTTGGGAAGGCTTCGGATTTATGGCTCCATGAGTTTAGGGTGGCTCCCTTAAGGGAGGCAGAACAACGCCCGCTTGACGTTCGAAGCTGCAGGCAGAGTGGCGCACCACCACCGCACCGGTCCTCGGTATAGACAAATCTGACGACGATGGGTCTTTGTGTCTGCAACTTAGGGTTTAGGGTCGGACCTTGAAGCTTACATTTTGTTATCTTTGTTCACGGAAAAGGCTTTGGAGACAGTCGGAAGTTGGCTTTATGGAAGAAGGCTTTCAGGGAGTTTAAGTGTATATAGAGCTGAGCATTCACCCTGAAGCAGAAGCCCGGACACACCAGTATCCCTTGCATCCCTAGTTCATGGCACTCTCCTTCATTCAGGGACGTCGGATGCTGCTTCACATTGTTGGGGCCTTGCACGAATAATTTTGGATGGTGGTATGTTGTTAGCATATTAAAGTATATAGATATAGGGATTCCAAGGGGCAATTTCTACTAAGCGCTCAGCCCTACGATTTCTGATCTCTGGAAACCTCCAATCGCGGTTTGAGAAGTGCCCCTGTCTGCTAAAACCTGAAGCCCCCCACTTCAAAAAGACCTCTATTGAGCACCTGGCAAGTCTTGGGAGCTGCTTTGCTATAAAGCTTCAATCCGAATCGAAAGTACAACAGTCGCGGACACCAAACTCTCCTAGCTCCTCGCTGAAGCCGACAAGGCAACCCTGCGGCGTTCAATCCAAAGTAGATACTGTCGCATGCCTGCAACTTTGCAAGAGATGCTGTAACCGGGTGAATTTGGGGCTTAGCAAGCCCGGGCCATTTCAGTAGAACAGGGTTGACATTCGGAATAAGAGTACAGCTTGCCATAGTTAAAGTACAACTCTAAGGGAAGGATACTACTGTGTAGTGAAACATCTATATAAGCCGTCCACAATCCCTCGCAGCCCAGTAGCGAGCTGGTCGTCTTCAGCGCAGACCGATTTCGTGGAAGAAGGTCTCGCTCGTAGCCTCGCAGAAGCCGGAAATCAGGGACGAAGACCAGAATTTCTGTGGCATACTATGCCTGAATGAGTAGACTAGGGTTTTGTGATCTGTTTGACACAATTTTCGCAAGGAGCCCTAAGGAATGACACTTCAGGGAGCTACAGTACGGCTTCAGGATCTCGGCTGTGCCGTTCTCGGCTCAGAGAGAGAGAGAGAGTGCTTCCGCAGAACCTTCGCTCACTGCGCCCTCCACGAGTGTCATCGTCGCACCGTATCATGCTTTAGTACTACTATAATGCGACAAGAAGAAACTACTGCTACTCTACACTACGACGGCAAAAAGGGGTCTGACTCTCGCTCTGTATGTATGTATGTGCATCGATGTTTCTTCATCTTACTGTTTTGCACCTACGCATGCATGAAGCAGCTATTACTGCCTGTTCCTGAGCAATACCAGGCAGCGGCTTGCAGCCGACAAGTTTGTGTTAAAGGTCTTGATTGTTGAAAGCATGGTCTCTGCTGATTTAGGATGTTTGGGCTTGATCCCGGCACGAGTTCTTTGCTCTTACGGTCAGGCTTCGAGTGCTCAATCCTGAAATCCCGCAACCCGAAACCCTCAGCCCGCCGCAGCTTTAGCGGTCTGCGTCATCCTTTAAGGGTTACTTTACGGCGGGCTTCACGGGTTACTTCGGGAATCGATGTGGGGGGAGGCGGCGCCGGCAGGGTGCCTTCTTCGCATATAACATAGTAGACAGTGAGATTGCGAAGGTACCTCGCATGAAATCCAAACTTCTGAATGCCGCTACGAAACTGTCGGAAGTGGCCACCAAATGTGGAGAGGCCAAGGGCAAGAAAGCTCCTTCGATCCGCGGCAGAATCTGGAAGAGGGTTTTGCAGACATTATCGCACAAAACCCGTTAAGGAACCCGAAGAAAAGGGAATTGGTAATTGTTTAGGCCCTTATATTCCGACTCAAAAACGGGAAGAATAACCAGAGTGGGAATGGTGCAGAAGATCAGAAGAGCAGCAATCGGGGCAGGTGGCGCCGTAGGAACCACACAGAGGATACTCATCAGAAATGGAAGCCATGCCCATGCTCCAGGTTGCTCAGAGCAAAAGTCATGTTTTCTCAACATGCTCACAACTCGAAGTAACAGTCGAACGATGTCCACTCTCTTAGAAGATTGCACATAAAGGAGCACAGCTAAACAACCACACCGTGAACGGGCATAAAAAAGGCTTCAAACTCCCTGTATAGCAAGCACTGCAGAAAAAGATAACCGGTGTGCGAGCGAAAAAATCCAGAAATCCACGCGTTGAAACACTTCAGATACTCACTGGGGCATCTCCCTAGAACCTAGTGCCTCCCTGCTCGCACTTTACTATTCCCCTGTTCTTGTCTTACTACGCCTGCTCTGCCTTCTCATACCGGGATCTAGGAGTCCTGATAATCAAAAGCCTACTGTTCAAGATGTGCATCAGGGCCTTTGTTGGAGACCCTTACGTTGTGAACATCACACATTATCCCTGAGAGCCTTAGAGAGCTTGACTCGACCATACGTCGCGTTCCTGCAACTTGCCACCGCTCTACTCACACCCTAATTTCCAGCATTGAGGGCTGTACTTGTTGCTATTCCGTGAAAATACGAGGTGCGAGTCTGAACCCCAACCGTAGAGTTTCAATCCCCATCTCGAACCCTCCACGCTCAACACTAGCCCCATGCTCCAAAGTCTGAACCCCAACAAACCCGGAACAACCCCAACCCCAAACCGAATCAGATAGCAGCAAGAAATCAACACCAACTATGCTTCTTAACCAACATGGACAACTGTCCGTTGTTCATGCATGTACAAACGCAAAATGTGTGCATATGTAAGTGTACATACATGCAAACATACATACACATACACATACATACACACACACACATACACACACACACACATACCTACCCACCTACCTACCTACCTACCTACCTACCTACCTACCTACCTACCTACCGACCTACCTACCTACCTACCTACCTACCTACCTACCTACCTACCTACATACCCTATGTACATACATACATACATACATACATACATACATACATACACGCATACATACAGACAGGCAGACAGATAGACAGACACACACACACACATACACACACGTATGCACATATGCACGTATGCACATATATATATATAGAGAGAGAGAGAGAAAGATTGATACATACTTACGTACATAGGAAACATAGGAAGTATATATGCGACCCACCAAACACTGGGGCCTGTCGTGTGCTATTTTCTCTATGTATATATATATATATATATGTATGTATGTGTGTAAGTATGTGTAGACATATGTACATGTATATCTATATATATATATATGCAACATATATATATATATGTATACATGTGCGTATGTATGTATGTATGTATGTATGTATGTATGTATGTATGTGCGTATGTATGTATGTATGTATGTATGTATGTATGTATGTATGCATGCAGGTAAGATGGATGGATGGACGGACAGACAGACAGAAGGCCGTTAGATAGGTATCAGATAGATAGATAGATAGATAGATAGACAGATAGATACGTAGGTAGATAGATAGACATGCATGGGTGTGCGTATGTATGTATGGATGTACGTATGGATGTGTGTATCTAGATGTGTGTGTATATGTATATGTACGTATGTACGTTTGTATGTCTGTATGCATGCACGGATGTATGTATGCATGCATGTATGCATGTATGAAATGTATGTAATGTATGTAATTTTATGTAATGTACGTAATGTATGTAGTGTATGTAATATATGTAATGTATGTAATGTATGTAATGTATGTAATGTATGTAATGTATCTATGCATATATGCATGTATGTATGTATGTATGTATGTACGTATGTATGTATGTATGTATGCATGTACGTATGCATG